CCAAACTACATTACTTAATTTCTTACCCAAATTATTTCATTTTTGGCTATTGGGAGCTGCTATAGGCTGAATATTTGTGTCCCCCAAAATTCATATGTTGAGATAGTCCCCAACATGGTAGCATTTGAAGGTGGGATCTTTGGGAGGTAATTAGATTATGGGGGTTGACCCTTCATGAATGAAATTAGCCCTCTTATAAAATAGATTCTAGATACATCCCATGCCTCTTCTGCTATATGAGGTCACAGCAACAGGACAACCATCTATGACCCAGGAAGCAGATCATCATCAGACATCAAGTCTGTCGGTGCCTTGATCTTGGACTTCCCAGCCTCCAGAACTATGAGAAGTTAAGTTTCTGTTGTTTATAAGCCACCCAGTCCATGGGTGGCTATTCTATTATAGCAGCCCAAAGGAACTAAGACAGAGGCTATTTCAGGCTAGGTCCTACCACACTTTAACATGCCCCATCCTTTTGTTTTTTAAGAGTATTTCCATAATTTTTGGCATTATAAAATATTCTAGCCTTATCTTGATATTTCTTGCTCAGAACTTGGTCAGCTCCAAGGAGCCCAAATTAATGTTATTGAACAATGTATTACAAAACAAGAATCCAATACAAGATATAGAAGTGGTTACTGCTTCTAGGCCCTCTCAGTAGACAGAGATAGAAAATATGTATATAAATATTAGCTCAAATATACATATATCTGTAATTATTTCCATATCTGTCCATCTGTATTTACATTAAGCTAAACATGAGCACAGGCTGATGTCTAATACAGCAGCGCATATTGCATTCTACCCTTTTTGTCCTCCATCTCTGTAGCTTCTATCTTCTTAGTGAAAAATCAGGCTTTCCCCATCCAACATCCTTTCCTGACTTGTTCAACCCCAATATACATGTACAGCAATTTCAAAATTGTTAATATTTTCCTCCATAATAAACAACTTTAACAGCAAAAGTACAGTGATTATGAATAGTTCTTTTTCTTTTAACCTTATAGTTTTCAGTCAAACACTGTGTTCCCAAGTTACTTAAGTTAATTTTTCCCTCATCCTATTCAGTGAAATTATATCATACATAGGTTCTTTTGTCACAGAATACAGATTATTTGAAGATCCGCGAACCTCTTCTTTGACATTTTTTAAATTTACATACATTAAAGTTCATTTTTGTGCTATAAGTTTCTATCAGTTTGACAAATACATAATGTATGTACCATTGTCATACA